GGAGAATTGGCCAATTGCTGGAAGAAGGCAAATGTCGTACCGATTTTTAAGAAAGGTGATAGGGAGGAGGCACTTAACTATAGACCTCTATCACTGACAAGCATCCCCTGTATAATACCTGAAACAATTATTAGGATAAGACTGGTTGCACACCTGGAGAACATTAGGATTGTAAACAAACATCAACATGGGTTCTGGAAAGGGAAATCATGCCTAACAAATCTTTTGGAATTTTATGATAAAATAACGAGGATAAGGAAGGACAGAGATGGTTGGGCAGACTGCATATTTCTGGACTGCCAAAAAGCCTTTGATACAGTACCGCACATGAGACTGCTATTCAAACTTGAGAGGCAGGCGGGAGTGAGTGGAAAGGCCCTAGCCTGGGTAAGGAACTACCTAACAGGAAGGAGCCAGAGAGTTACGGTAAGGGGCGAGAGGTCAGACTGGCGAACAGTAACGAGTGGAGTACCTCAAGGATCGGTGCTTGGACCAATTCTATTTCTAGTATACGTTAACGACATGTCTACAGGAGTAGAATCCTACATGCCGATGTTCGCGGATGACGCAAAGTTGATGAGAAGAGTTGTGACAGAAGAAGGATCCTCCAAGAGGACTTGAACAGGTTGCAGAGATGGTCGGAGAAACGGCTATTGGAGTTCAACACGAGTTATGTAAAGTTATGGAAATGGGACTACGTGATAGGAGACCAAAGAGACAGTACACAATGAAGGGGAACTGCCTACCTGCGACGACGCGAGAAAGCGACCTGGGCGTGGACGTAACACCTAATCTAACTCCTGAGGCACATATAAATAGGATATCAACAGTAGCATACTCTACACTGGCAAAAGTTAGAACATCATTCAGAAACCTAAGTAAGGAGGCATTTAGGGCGCTTTGCACTGTCTACGTGAGACCAATCTTAGAGTATGCCACTCCATCATGCAGTCCCCATCTGAAGAAACACATAAGGAAACTGGAAAATGTTCAGACGTTTGCAACGAGACTCGTCCCAGCGTTACGATGGATGGGGTATGAAGACCCCCCTGAAGGAACTGAGTCTTACGACACTAGAAAAAAGAAGGGAGAGGGAGGGATATGATAGGAACGTATAAAATACTCAGTGGGAATTGATAGTGGACATAGACGAAATGTTCACACGGAATAGTAACAGAACGAGGGGACATAGGTGGAAGCTGGAAACTCAGATGAGTCACAGAGATGTTAGGAAGTTTGTTTTAGCGTAAAAGTAGTGGAAAAATGGAATGCACTTTAGGAGCAGGTTGTGGAAGCAAATTCTATTCATAATTTTAAAACTAGAAATATGATAGGGAAATAGGACAAATTGGTGAGTACAAATAGGTGGAGTCATTGCTGTTAAACAACCGAAAGTTCTTCACCGGCTAGAAAGGCCGGGATCCAAGAGTCAATGCTCTGATCCTGCAGGCACAAATAGGCATCTTTTTATATATCTACTATATACATGAGTACATAGTTTTTTTTTTAAAAATATGTAAGAACAACACATGCAATAATCTCCGAAAATTCTTCACCAATTACTTTGAAATTTTGACACAACGTTGCAGGGAAGGGAAAGAAAGCTAAGAACTTAAGATTGTAATTCACCGTCACCCAATATATAAATAAGATATAAAAAGAGTACACAGGGGGAGGGGTATTAACACTATACAAGGGGATTGACACTGTAGTCTTCTGCTGAAGACTATGGATCCTCGATCTTGGTGCTGATTCCTCGGTGCTTCTTCGTGGCCTCACAACGAATTCTTCTGAGACGTCGAGCCTACCCTGGCCACAGGTCAGCCAAAACACAGGTCCACTGGGGGCACCGCCGTGGAGGCCGTCAACCACAAATCCAGCAGGGGCTCTGCTGGCAGGTTCCGGACCCGCAACGCTGGTCAGGCCACTCCACGAACGATATAAGGGGAACGCCCTGGACAGGAGCCTCGTGTGACACCACAAATCACTCTCCCGTCCTCAATATCCCAGTGGACGATCGTCTCCAACAGTCGGTCCCCGGTAAACCTTTCACTGCCACTCCACTGGCAGGCTAACACACCACAGTGTTCTTCCGGGGGGGGGGGGACGACTTCGCAACTGCTGCAGCAAAGCTCAAGGTTCGGAGACGGCTGCCTCGGGTAGACTCACTCAACTCTCATCACAGCAGTCCCAGGTCGACTCTGTAAGCAGACACGTCATCAATAACTGGGACACACTAAGGCACCTCACTTACGGGCTCAGACACAAACGCCCACCTATCCACTCCATAGATGGCGCTGGTGTCTGAGCACCACCTCACCAGAGGTCAGCAGCGGCGGTGTAGAGTGCTGAACGGGACTGGAAACTGACCCTCGTAGCTAGTACACGTCGCCCTCTCCAGGTGTCGTCGTCCATTTGGTGGGGGTTTCGGGAGCTGACCCACAGATGGCGCGGTCGTGACTGCTCCGGGATCGGACGCTGGATCCGGGTTCGTAACAACCATACCGTTCATTTCGTAAGTATAAGTATAGATGCCACACCTGTGACAGGTAAATCTATGTTTTTCTTGACAAACAATGCCATCTGTTGCATGTAAGAGCAACACATAATGCTACACTATATATGTTACAATTCCATTTCAATATTTCTGATTGCACTGATAAATTGAATTTTCATAGATTTTGATATATTTTAATTTTGATTTAATTATTTTGTGTGAATTGCATTGGAATTCAGCAGTGTTGTTTACCATACCGTTCATTTCGTGAGTATAGTTTATTTTTTTATTTTTTCGTATTTTCATTTAAATTTTTAACTGTTTTTCTTATAGTTCAGTGATGGGAACATCAGATCACTTGATGTTCCCAATTTTCTGATGGGAACATCAGACCATTTGGGAAGGCATCGAACGAGGAAGTGGAGAATGGTGGGGATGACTAGGGGACAAGGGAGGGAGTTTTGGTGCCTAAGGACGAGGGGACGGGGGAGTTTGGGATGTTGGGGATAAGTGGATGGGGAAATGGAGAATGGTGGGGAGGACAAAGAGACAGGAAAGTGGGGCATGGTGGGAAGGAAGAGGGGATGATGGCGTGGGGAATGGTTGGGAGACCGAGAGGACGGGTGAGGGGAAATGGTGGTGCTTTTGCGCTACCACTCACAGGATGAGTATGGGGTGCACAATTAACTAGCTGCCTTCGGCGGCAACAATCAAATCAATGGTGGGGAGGACTGGGGGGACAGGGAAGGTTGCTGTAGCTGAGCCACAGCACCACGTGGCCGGGTACTGCTAGTTTGAAAATATTTGTGCCCTATTCACCATCAAACAAGAAAGAAGAAATTTTGAAAGTGAAGAACAAGATGGGGACATAAACTGACAATAATAATGGGTCATAATGGGTCACAGATGTCCATAGAAAATGCGTTGGTGTCAAGATCGTAAATAGATGAAATAGATTTATATGATTGTTTATGATAAATCAATATATAATTTTAAATGTATTTAACATAAACAAACGAGAATAAATTCTGAACATTCCGTTGAACAACTGATGGTTGAAAGACGAAGGCTCGACTCTGCAAGCACATCTGAGACGACGCAGACGGGCGTTGGTGAGTTCACGCCTGTCTGCGAGCAAGCAGACAAGCAGCCAGTCACAAGATAGCTAGGTAGTCGAACAAACAAGCAGACAGAATGAGAGGCGGCCAATGAGACAGAGAGAGAGGCAGACATGCACCACCACCACCACTCTGCGCCACTCACTGGTCGCAGAGATAATGTCCACCAACCGTCACAAGCACTCTGACTTGCCGTCCTTTCTTCCACTCTACAAGCACTCATCATATTTCCTGTTTTCCTAACACTTATCCTCACTTTCACTCCTCCTCACTCACACTCTAAGCACAGTACCACACTTGCATTTATTTCTCACTCACGTGTGTGTATGTGTCTTCTTCACGTCGCTGGAAGACAGAAGAACTCGGGGAGACATGATCACCACATACAAAATTCATAGGTGAATTGACAGGGGTAGACAAGGATGGATTATTTAACACGGGTGGTACACGAACAAGGGGACACAGGTGGAAGCTGAGTACCCGAATCAGCCACAGGGACATTAGCAAGAACTTCTTCAGTGTCAGAGTAGTTAGTAAATGGAATGGACTAGGAAGTGATGTGGTGGAGGCTGACTCCATACACAGTTTAAGATGTAGATATGATGGAGCTCGAGAAGCTTAGGAATCTATACACCAGTAGATTGACGGTTGAGAGTCGCGACCAAAGAGCCAAAGCTCAACGCCCGCAAGCACAACTAGGTGAGTACACACATTCTCAACCATTCATACACACACGAACAGACATATTCTGAGACATACTCTTCTCATATACTCATTCTCATAGAATGAGATCATTGAGAACTTACAGTTCAATCTTACGAAGCGTGATAGTGAGGAACTCCTCACAGCATCTTTGGAGCAAATAAAGGAAAATCTTTGGAGCAAATAAAATAAATTTGTCGGAATCATATCTTAAAAAAGAGGAAACTATGAATAGGTCGCAGAACAGAACACAACCGACGGATGAAGGGAAGACAACAAAGTAGGACAAGGAAGTATAAAACAGGTAGAGATTGTAACTGAGATATTGGGAACAAGACCAGAGAAGACCTATGCTGAAGCAACAAAAGGCTTTGAGGAGAAGTCGGTAATTAAGTGAACAGTGATGGAGGGTGTAAGAACCTTGCAAGTGGTGAGATGTGTGAAGCACAAGTTGGAGAGACAGAGACGTGTTGTGCCCTGCGGTCGACCAGAGCCAGAGGGGAACACAAGGTAAAGAGAAAGGCGTCACCAAAATAATATTACAGAAGTTGTACACAATATTCAGGCCATGGAAGCAACAGTGGAAATATAATATTGAAGTTTAGTGAAATTTTGGAATAATAGGAGTTAACGAGGTTAAGTTATATTTAAGAACATTAATACAGTTAAATATGTGCTGACAGAAAAGAGAAGAATGTGGGATGGAGGGAATTACCATATATTGTCCAGGATATCTCTGTGGAAGACAAGGAGGTAGCAAGAAAATCTGGGGAGAAAAGCAAGAAAGAAATGTTAGGAGACTTCAAAATGGAACAAACAATGCAAAGGAAAGAGTAAACTAGACAAGAGAGAGAAAACACAAGAGAGGTGCCAAGATTAACCAGGAACCTGCTCAAGGAGGAAGGCGCCAGTGATCAGCTCAAGATCATCTTCCCTTATCAGATACAAGCATGTCTCAGGATCCTCAACCCATTGTAAGGACCAGGGGATCATGGATCACTCCAGGTGGATGAGGCAGGATCATGGATCACTCCAGGTGGATGAGGCAGGATCATGGATCACTTCATGTAGATGAGGCAGGATCATGGATCACTCCATGTGGATGAGGCAGGATCATGGATCACTCCATGTGGATGAGGCAGGATCATGGATCACTCCAGGTGGATGAGGCAGGATCATGGATCACTCCATGTGGATGAGGCAGGATCATGGATCACTCCAGGTGGATGAGGCAGGATCATGGATCACTCCAGGTGGATGAGGCAGGATCATGGATCACTCCATGTGGATGAGGCAGGATCATGGATCACTCCATGTGGATGAGGCAGGATGATGGATCACTCCATGTGGATGAGGCAGGATCATGGATCACTCCATGTGGATGAGGCAGGATCATGAATCACTCCATGTGGATGAGGCAGGATCATGGATCACTCCATGTGGATGAGGCAGGATCATGGATCACTCCATGTGGATGAGGCAGGATCATGAATCACTCCATGTGGATGAGGCAGGATCATGGATCACTCCATGTGGATGAGGCAGGATCATGGATCACTCCATGTGGATGAGGCAGGATCATGGATCACTCCATGTGGATGAGGCAGGATCATGGATCACTCGATGTGGATGACGCAGGATCATGGATCACTCCATGTGGATGAGGCAGGATCATGGATCACTCCATGTGGATGAGGCAGGATCATGGATCACTCCATGTGGATGAGGCAGGATCATGAATCACTCCATGTGGATGAGGCAGGATCATGGATCACTCCATGTGGATGAGGCAGGATCATGAATCACTCCATGTGGATGAGGCAGGATCATGGATCACTCCAAATGGATGAGGCAGGATCATGAATCACTCCATGTGGATGAGGCAGGATCATGGATCACTCCATGTGGATGAGGCAGGATTATGGATCACTCCATGTGGATGAGGCAGGATCATGGATCACTCCATGTGGATGAGGCAGGATCATGAATCACTCCATGTGGATGAGGCAGGATCATGGATCACTCCATGTGGATGAGGCAGGATCATGAATCACTCCATGTGGATGAGGCAGGATCATGGATCACTCCATGTGGATGAGGCAGGATCATGGATCACTTAATGTGGATGAGGCAGGATCATGGATCACTCCATGTGGATGAGGCAGGATCATGGATCACTCCATGTGGATGAGGCAGGATCATGGATCACTCCATGTGGATGAGGCAGGATCATGGATCACTCCATGTGGATGAGGCAGGATCATGGATCACTCCATGTGGATGAGGCAGGATCATGGATCACTCCATGTGGATGAGGCAGGATCATGGATCACTCCATGTGGATGAGGCAGGATCATGGATCACTCCATGTGGATGAGGCAGGATCATGGATCACTCCATGTGGATGAGGCAGGATCATGGATCACTCGATGTGGATGACGCAGGATCATGGATCACTCCATGTGGATGAGGCAGGATCATGGATCACTCCATGTGGATGAGGCAGGATCATGGATCACTCCATGTGGATGAGGCAGGATCATGGATCACTCCATGTGGATGAGGCAGGAAGATAATAACTACCAATGTGAGCCCAAAATTGGATTCGAGATATCCTTTCGTCAACTTGGTCCATCGACTAGACAAAGGAACAGTGGACACAACACCGCGCAGGACTGAGCGCAGAACTACGACCACGACATCAGTAGAGAGGGGACAGGGAGCCCGGGTGCCTACACTGAGGACCGAGAACGAGGAAATAGAAAATATGGGGAGCAGACAATTTTTGTGAAAACCAACAAAAAAAAAAAAGATGTAAGGGACACACGTGACAAGTTGAGTTAGGCCAAGAACAGTTGAGAGAGGCAGGACAGAACATGTCCTAGACATGAAAGAGGAACATCACCAGTAGATAAGGATATGAGGGGTGATAATGCCTTAGAAATGGCAAATTAGGGAACTACATGACCCAGATAAGTGACTGGAGACTTTGCGAAATAAATTAAATTTAGATTTTGCAATTGGAAAAATTGGAATAATGCAGTTAAATCATAGACCTGTGTGTGTGTGAGACTGGTATTGAGGTAGTGTGGTGTGGGTGGTATTGAGGTATTGAGGTAGTGTGGTGTGGGTGGTATTGAGGTATTGAGGTAGTGTGGTGTGGGTGGTATTGAGGTAGTGTGGTGTGGGTGGTATTGAGGTAGTGTGGTGTGGGTGGTATTGAGGTAGTGTGGTGTGGGTGGTATTGAGGTAGTGTGGTGTGGGTGGTATTGAGGTATTGAGCACTCTGCCACAGAAGGCAGTGCTTTTGCTAAAGGAAGTTTTTCAGTGCTAACCGGTATAAATACATTACACTACACCACAGAATTCAGTGATGGCTCTTACCGATCACAGGTAAAAATGATACCTTGCTGGCTGGGTCTTGTGTACTCTGCTCAGTAATAGACCGTCGCATTTCGACGTATACTTTACCCTAAGGCCAAAAATCGTCGTACTAGAAAATAGTAGCGGCTGGTGAAATTGACTTACTGAAACATTTTGGGTCCCCTGGTAGGTTAGGCTAAGAACACTTTGGTACGACAATTTCTTGACGTTTGGAAACCTTAGGAGGACGGGCTGCAGTCAGAGGGATCATGTGTTGAAGGTGACAATTGCAGCCTCAGGTGACAGCTGCAGCCTCAGGTGACAGCTGCAGCCTCAGGTGACAGATGCAGCCTTAGGTGACAGCTGCAGCCTCAGGTGACAGCTGCAGCCTCAGGTGACAGCTGCAGCCTCAGGTGACAGCTGCAGCCTCAGGTGACAGCTGCAGCCTCAGGTGACAGCTGCAGCCTCAGGTGACAGCTGCAGCCTCAGGTGACAGATGCAGCCTCAGGTGACAGCTGCAGCCTCAGGTGACAGATGCAGCCTCAGGTGACAGCTGCAGCCTCAGGTGACAGCTGCAGCCTCAGGTGACAGCTGCAGCCTCAGGTGACAGATGCAGCCTCAGGTGACAGATGCAGCCTCAGGTGACAGATGCAGCCTCAGGTGACAGATGCAGCCTCAGGTGACAGCTGCAGCCTCAGGTGACAGATGCAGCCTCAGGTGACAGATGCAGCCTCAACAACAACACCTCAGGAGAGTGTTCATCAACAAGGTGATGGTCATCCCACTCTTGTAGTGGTGTCTCAACTCTGTCTTCTCGTTTAATAACAATTCGTGTTCTCGGGGACAGGTAGCGTGTGTATATGTTTGTATACACTTTAGGCTTGTATCAAGGTCCCCCCCATCCGTGAAGGTCTAACTACTGACCCCCCCCCCCCCATTCAAGGATGCAACCCTCACAACTGTTGCCTAAATCCCGGATACCTATTTACTGCTGGGTGAACAGAGACATTATGTTGAAGGAAGCGTGCCTAACATTTTCTGGCGATTTACGGATATCGAACCTGGGATTCCCGATTGTGAGTTGATAACGACGTCAACAGTGTTGGTAAGTGTGAGGTATAGTGAGGCAGTTCAGCAAATACCAGAGCAGCTGGAATTGTCTTTATGCACATAAAACAAAACAAAAAAGTAAAACAAAGTAAATAAAAGCTGTTTAGCCTTTGCGGTGTGAAAAGTTGTAGGAATAAACCACTGTACGTAAACAATTAAACACTTTACTGTAACATTCAAAACAACAAACAAACAAAATAATTCTTAACAAAATACTTGACTAAACACGAGAAATTAATAAATGTACTTGAAAAACAAAAGAGGTGATGTAATGTAATACAGCAGTGGACACGTCGAGCGTCGCGCGTGGTAGCGGGACCACAGCCAGTGAAGGAGGCCACGTGTAGACAGAAGAAAATGTATATATGCTGATTAGCATTGTAAATGTGTGGCCACGTCTGTGGTAGAAAATAATAATAATAAAAAAAAAAAAACCTGGAGTCCTGGAGGAGCCTGCTGCTCCCGGGCTCCGGCACGCGCTACGCCTGCGGGTGACGTCACGTCTGGCGGTAAGGTGCGGTGTCGACGAGGAGCCGGCGACATAACGAGCGCTATGGCCAAAAATGGACGTAATTTGAAATGAAATCGGCTAACAAAAGTGATGTACTGTCCCGTTTTCTGTTTGAGTCCCGCGGCTTACTCGGTTAGGTTAGGAGAGAAAACTTTGAATGAACGGTTATCATGACTTTTGAAACCTTAGGAAAACTTCCTGTCCTCCTCACCTACCAGAGGGCCCTTAACTTGCTGTTGTAGAAAAAAAAAAATTATTTTATTTTTTTTTTTTAATTTTTAAATTACGTCCATTTTCAGCCATACGATCAAACGGCCAAATTCAGACGTAATTTGTAAGAGAACAAGTTGATAAACCCAGCTCGGGTTGTACGGCTTGAGCAGTGGGTTGTATGGCTTGAGCAGTGGGTTGTATAGCTTGAGCAGTGGGTTGTATGGCTTGAGCAGTGGGTTGTATGGCTTGAGCAGTGGGTTGTAGGGCTTGAGCAGTGGGTTGTATGGCTTGAGCAGTGGGTTGTATGGCTTGAGCAGTGGGTTGTATGGCTTGAGCAGTGGGTTGTATGGCTTGAGCAGTGGGTTGTATGGCTTGAGCAGTGGGTTGTATAGCTTGAGCAGTGGGTTGTATGGCTTGAGCAGTGGGTTGTATGGCTTGAGCAGTGGGTTGTAGGGCTTGAGCAGTGGGTTGTATGGCTTGAGCAGT